AGGTGACCACGAGTTGAAGGTGAAAGGAAGCCTCGGTAGACCTGTACAGAGGTGCTTTCACACCATGGTTGCACCAAGCTACAAGCAGAGGTGTCTAGTGACCATGGCGTGGCTGATGCCCCACCTCTCCTTCTAGCTGTGCACAGAGCCCACCACTGTGGAAGCAGCAGCTGCTGGTCCTTCACGGTGTTTCATGGTGCCATTTATTAACCGTAGTCCTTGGTACACCTCACCGAGCTTCACTAGGGCTCGGTTAGCTTGGCATTGCCCTCGGCCGTTGCCCTCATGTCTGATGGCCCAGGAGGAGATGGCAGAGGGCTGCTGGAAGGGCTGGGACAGCCCTCCCAGGCTCTGAACCGGGGCCACCACCAAGCACTGCCGAGGCAGCAGCAGAAGATGCGGTGACCAACCTGATCCTCCCTTCCCCCACCTCCCAGTGCTACATCCGTCAGTCCGCATGACCCTCCCCCTACCAAAATTGGCTGCTTTCTTCCTTCTTCTCCCCCCCTCTCTTTTTTTTGGCTGAGTGATGAGCTGTATGCCAAATCCATCTGCTCCTGTCTCCCCTAGCTGCCTTCCATATCATTACAGGATCCCTGGCAGCGAGCCTAGACCTATCTCTCTCCCTGCACTCTTAGGAGCACATTCCTTTCTACACCTTTTGCCGAGCTGGGATAGAAATGAGTATCAACCCCAAACAAAAAGCATCTGCTTTCTGCCTGCTTCTGCTTCACCGGACGCGCATGTACGCTACACCCGTGTCAGCAGCGAATGCAAAACACACACAACCCCCCACCTCGCCGCCCCGCATCCAACATGGGCTGACGAAACTTTGGGCGCCGGGAGCCTGCCTCACACCCTCTCCCTCTCCGTCTCCGCAGCACCAGCTGTGACCACCGCACCATTTGTTCCTCCAGCCCACGCCAGCACTCGGAGCCAGTTCTTTATCACCCCAATTAGCCTTGTCTGTGCTGATGAGAGGAGAGAGGCTTCCACTGCAAGGCAGAGATGGGGGGAAGAGAGCTGGCACGTGGTGGGCACCGCAAGAGGCGATTCACTTTATGGCGGCTTTGTTCCCCGAGAGGGATAGATTTCACCGGGTCAGGAGCACCACTAAAAAGCCAGCGCTGTCATCCTGCCTGCATTACCTGGGTGATGCTGGTTTATAAACAGTTGCTTGAATAAGGTCAGGGGACACCGTTTCTTGGTTTTTTCCCTTTTTTCTTCATGCACTTGGCTATCTGCTAGAGGGAAGAGGAGCATCCTCAGGCTGCACCGGCTCCCAGGCGTTGTGATGGGCTGTGGCTAGCGCCGGCCACATTTCTGGATGAGTTTGGAGATGCACCTTGGCCATGCCAGCAAGGATCTCCCTGCATCTATAGCAAAGCTTCCAGTAGCCTCACAGGGGGGGGTGAAGCAATTCGCCCTTCTCCCGCTGCCTCATTATAGTGTCTCCCATGCTGGTATGTCAGGATACCAAGCGGTCAATGCTGCACTGGTGCTCATGCAGCTATCAGCCTGAAAGCCTGGGTTTTTTTCCCAAATCAGCCCCTTGTAGCACTCTCTGGGAGTGGTGCTTTTACACTGTGGTTCCCTCAGTGCTGTTGTGAGCTTGAGTACCTCCTGCACTTCTCGTCTCCTGGATTCGTTGTTGAAGGCCCTTTTCTGGTAGGCACCTCAGTGCTGTCATCCCAGAGCCAGGAAGGGGATCCGTCCTTTGCCCCAGCACAGGTAGGTCTACCTCATCGGGAGGAAGAGGATGGACACAGTTCAAACCCAGTCCCATGGTGGGCACTCAGTTTGAAAGGACAAAGTCGCGTCGTGTGGGGTGGGGCAGGTCCCATCAGTGTAGTCCCAACAGGGTAGAACCTGTTCCTCAGAGCACCCTCCATGGCAGGCGTTCCCTGTTAGAGGGGTTCCCAGCATGGCCATGACCAAGAAGGATCCTGCTGGGGGTCTTCTTTGAAGCTGAGACACAAGAAACTTGACAACAAACTGTGGTCTCCAGATCCATTTCACAATGCCATGTCCAGAGGAAGGCTGGCCAAGCAGGTCCAGGATGCTGAACAGCTGGAGTAGCAGTCTACACCAAAATAGGTGAAATTACACTTTCCAACAAAAAACCCTGCAGGATTCAGAGACTGAACTGGTACAGAATAAGGTTGTGTCTTCATGTTGCCTTAATATCTGTAGCTTACCACCTGAATGCTTCTCCCTGTTCTTCTGTGTTTCATTTCCCACTGAGAGGAGTAACTTACAGCTTTGCCAGTGCTGCTGTGGAGTATGTCCCTCCTGTACCTGCCTCCTTGGTGCAGACGCACCCCTTGGAGCTCCTGTAGCTAAGGCTCCAGAGCAGTTTTTAATATCTGCTTTATTAAAGTCAACCAGAAGGGGATCTGCTGGGATCGCTCCAGTTCAACCAGTCACCCCCCAGCAAATTTATTTCACATCTTCCCAGGCTTCAGAAAGGGGCTTAAGTGAGCTCGGTAATATGCAGCTCCAAACCAATGCCTGTGACCGATTGTATCCTTTTTCAAGATCTTCAGAGGAGTCCCTGACCATGTGTCCATCTTGCATTAGGCATTCTTTCCCTTGTCCTTCTGCTCGGACACCATAATCTGCCTCTGAACTATCACACCTCAGTTCTGTCCCTCCTAAAGCCATCCCATCTAACAGCCTTGTGTACGGCCTTGCCATGAATGGAGAGCTCAGCCATGCAGGGAAAGGAGGCCGTTTGCCTCCTGGACCCATGGGAAGAAAGCCGAAAGGACCTACAAGCAATTATCTCATCTGTCTCCTTCCACCAAGACAAACTTAATTCTGCTTAAAATATTCTTGATGGGTTTCATCTCATTTGTGCTGAAAACTTCCCACCACAGAGACACCACACCTTCCCCAAGCATTTGGTTGCAATACTTTGCTCCTTCCCACTAGGATACTCTTCCTGCTGTTCAGCTTGGATCTTACTCGATGCTTTTTGAATTGTGTCCCAAGAGAGCGTGAACAAAACATTACTCCTTTCTTCTGTGCTGTAGCCTCTTGCACGTGCAAATACCACCATGCCTCCCTTGAATGTCTCTCTTCTAGATTTAGCACATCCAGGTCCTCAACATTTCCCCATAGGTCTTGCTTTCAGACCACAAATCTGGGATCCACCAAGGCAGACGTGGCTTTCCATGGAGCTCCCACCTCTCCAGTCCCCATTGGAGAAGAAGGGACTGTTGGTGGCTCTCCGTTAGCTTTCTGCGGAGATGTCCCAGCAGTAGGTTGGGTTTTGCTCTGTCCGAGCTGCCCCACGTCCCCAAGCCCTACCGACGTCAGCATGGATGGTCAGGGTGGGACCACCCAATTCCAGGTCATTTTAAAGCACTTCCCACCTTGATATTTTCATACCAGTGGGTGAAACCACCCAGCCCCGATACCTCGGAGCTTTTGTTTCTGTCTCTGGAAGAAAAATAAGAAAACAATAGGAAGAAAAGCTGCGTCAGAGCCAGGCAGATCGGAGTTAATCCTCCCTCAAAATGGATCCCGTCAGTGCCGGTGTACGTGAGAATCGCCTCTCCTGCACCTTTGCTGGGTACCCTCCCCGGCACAATGCTTCACTTTGTGTTTCAGCACAGAAAGAAATGGTGAAGTTGCTAATAATGGCACTAAAAGAAAATATGCTACATCTGTTATGGATAGCAGTACAAAATTAGCTGATCACACCTCTGACACCCAAGATGTCTTCACTTAAAATACTCGTTGGCTTACTTTACATAATTTGCTGATTATATTTAAAAGAAATACAATTTTGCAATTACTGTTCTTTCTGGTGTGCTATCTATGCATCATTTTCTTTTTATGTTTATATATTTCTCCTTCATTAGTGCAGTCTGAAGGGTGATTAGATCCCTTCAAACATTTTACAGAGGTTAAACGTTGATTAAGATTTAATTATTACTGTAAATAGCTTGGAATGACATATGGTGCAAAAACCTGACATATGTGCATTTGAATAAATGAAGTGCTATTTCCCATGATGCTTCAGTAGCTGTTTAACAGCTTTGCTGAAGGGTTATGTTGCACCTCATGTTAAGATTGCTTTGATGTTATATTTTGTTGGGTTTTTGCAGCTGAAAGCTAAGAACAGTTTTTCCAGTTTTTAAAAACATTGAATATTTTAAATACCTAAATTGTTTTGCACAAATTTTTGCTAATTTGTCTAACTAGGTTAAACATTTTCAAAAGCATTTAGATTTTAACGTGGGTTCCTAGCATTGTGTCAGCAACAGCATCAATTCAATGTATAGGATTTCTAAAAGTCTGATCTTGCAAAGTGCCCTGTCCCGGTTGGGAGCGGGATCTTTGCTTGCCGCGGGAACCGGGAGCGCCACGGATCCCTCCCAGGGATGCAAAGGTTCGGAGTGATTTCAGAGCAAGGGAAAGCTTTGTGCGAAGCCGGCGAAAGGAAAAAATTAAGAAGGGGCTGGAGATTTAATGGAGACAGAGAAAGGGGTAGGTAGATTTTAGCTGTGATCCATCCTCGTTGGAGGGTATAGAGCCCTGGTCCAGGAGACAAATGAGGGTGTGCTGTCCCCTTGTGTCACCAGGCAGCCCTTGGCTTTCCCGGGTCCCTACGGGTGCAAACCGCAGCTTCGGGGACTGGGTTCCTTCTAGCACCATGCGAGGGGACCTTGGCTGCGGGAGAAGGAAGGGATCTCTCCTGGAAAACGATGGGTGGGATCCGTTTGATTCTCAGAGACGCTCTATAATTCACTGAATATTGCAAAGCAGCGAGTGTGCATCATTTCACGCAAGTCATATAAGTCAATCCAAACAGGGTTGTTCTGAGACTTGAGCAGAGTAAAGCGCATTAAAATGACACGGAAAAGGCATTATTGACATTCTATTATTTACATATTATACTTCTCCACGTTAATTTATTGATCTATCGAGCTCCTGCTGCAGCACAACACCACGATACCGATTCTGATCTTGCCTCCTCTTTGATTTCACAGATTGAGACATCTCGGCTGGAGCCAGAAATCGCAATGGCCACCCCCAGTAAGACTGTAGTCTACAATAAAGGATTGTAAGTGGAAGCGGACAATCTCAGCCCAGAAGATTTGGGGAGGGAAAGGGGGAAACTTGAGATCCCAACTGGGAAAAAGAAAACAACAACAAGAGAAAACAAATAATAGAGCTCAGCGATAGTAACGTATTACCGCTCCCGGCGAACTGGGAGTAAATTAACACTTGCAGAGAACTGACGCCTCACACCAGTCAAAAAGATTAATATTAAAAGTTTTAAATTAGCAACAGGAGCAGTGACAAAAAACTTACATTCAAACACTTTAGAGAACTAGCTAAAGAATAATCTCAGAACTTAATAGCACTGCATGGAGGGATGTTTAACAGTGTGTTTACATGGTTATACCTAACTACATGAAAATAGGCTTCACCGAGCAAATTTTGTTTTCAATGCAAATTAAATCTCCACACTGATGCTGCACAAAAATAATTCCGTAAAGATCAACGGGTGCATGAACGTGAAGCGCTTGATAGGGTGTTTGATAAGTGTCCTGTATTGATTTCATGCCGATCCTACCCCAGTGATCATGCGCAAAAGCAGCCTTCCATGGTTCGACGTGCAACGCTCCGTTAGCACAGCGAAGGTCATGGCCTGTGCGCCCTCCATCCCTCCCTCCTTCTGCTGCAGACGGTCCTGGTGGCACCCTGCCATTCATTGCACTTGCAAGACTTTGTGTCACAGGAGCCTACCGCCGGGCGTGTCGGCAAGGGCTTTTGCTCGGGGTTCAAGATACTGGAAAGCCAACATGCCCACACATTGAGTAGGAAGGGATCTTACAGCAAAAATATGATCGATCTGCTCTTTTCCTTTGCGCAGACACGAAGGATGGGGTTTGTCCCACCTAACGTAGACCCTCGGAAAGTAAGGCTGTTAATCTAAAGTAATTGGCTAAGCTATGCTTTGCTAAGCTAGTTGTCTGAGGACATAACATGCTTTAACATTTGGTCAGCCCTGAAGTGGTCAGGCAGTTGGACTAGATGATCGTTGTAGGTCCCTTCCAACTTCCTCTCCTCTCTTCTCTTCTCTTCTCCTCTCCTCTCCTCCTCCTCCTCCTCCTTCTTCTTCTCTTCTCTATTTTTGCCAACGCTTTCAGACAGCAAAGCCAACACTGTCCAAAGCCTTGTGCCAGTGCAGAGGAGGACCCAAAGCAGAAACCGGTGGGCAGGACAGCTTTGCCTGGCAGCCGTGCCAAGCTGATGGCTTCGTGAGACTGCAACCTCAGAGGGGTGGTGAACTGTCCTCTGGAGATGGCTGGCTGGCTGGCTGTCTCTTCAACTACTCCACTTTGGGGTGCAAAGTCCCCCCAACACTGCACCGAATCCTGCCCTCGCATGGGTTTGGGGCCGTAATTTGGCTTTCTGGTATCTTGTACCCAAGGGTAAACCCCAAGTGACTCCCTGAGGACCAGAGGAGTTAATGCAGATTTTGAACATGGTCACCAGCAGAAGACCATGCCGACAGCAAGATCTGCCTCTGGAATCGTTGTAGGGATAGAGCCGTGGTGGTGATGGACACAGCCGAACGCACAGGCTGTCATCCTTCAAATGCCAGTTCGTTAGGGGTTTTGGGGAGGGTGGGGGGAACAGGGGAAACCAAATCGCCACTGACGCAGAATGTATTCGAAGGATTTATTGCAATGCTTGAAATTGGGAGGCCTGAGCCCCGCCGTGTGCTCCTCCACCGTTGGTTGCTCTCGCTCCCCGCTGGAGTCAGACCAGTAGAAACTGGAGTCACGCAACGGTCAGGCCGGCTCAGGAAGACTGATTCTGTCCCCGCGCTGGTGTAAATCAGAAATAATTGCACGAAACAAATCAATTTTGTGGATTTACATGCCAGCGTACAGGGGAGGAGAGGCCGGCTCCGGGCTCTCCATAGCTGCTGTTGATGGGCCAGCTCCCGGTCCCTGACACTGGTGGACACAGAGTGGGTCCAGTTGCACTCATGGAGCTATTCTGGATTTACACCAGGGTAAAGGACAGCTGAATTTGACACAGTAGAGTTCCTCTAATGCACTAGATGAGATGAATGTATGCTCCGGAGGAAACGAGGCCGCCCCACTCACTCCGGGTGGGATTTGGAGAGGCTGCAGGCCTATGTCCTATGGACATTTTCATGGGCATCTGTCCTACGGGCAGCGCAGCGCGGAATCAGGCCCCGTGTTTTGCCCTGGGGGCAAGTAACTCCCCGCAGCACTGGAAGAGGGGGGCAGACCCCTCGCCCCGGGAAGGGGAGCGGGGACGCTGGCAGCCCCCGAAGAGCAGCCTGCCGATGGGAACCGCAGCGGCAAGGCTTCGGAGAGCCAGCTGGGATGAGCTGTGCACCTGAAAAAGGGCCCTTTCCATTGCTGCAGGGTGTGGGAGGAGGTGAGGACCATTGTTGGATGCTGGGGATACAGGTACCCCCTTGCACACATACCCACATGTGCGTGCAGTGGGGAAGAAGCTACTCTGAGCCTAAAACTTCAGTTTATGGCTCCGCTGAGCCCGCAGAAGTTAGGAGCCAAGCCACACCTTGTTGCACGGAGGCACAGCTTGCCTTCTTCCTCCTCCTGAATGGAAATGCGAGGCTGAGACAGAAACAGCCTCTTGTGTTGACAGGGAGAGGCCTCCTGGCTCCGGTGTCTGTCTGGGTGGATCGTTTCCCCTTCCCCAGTGGGTTTTGTCGCTGCCTGAGCCATTCTGCTGCAAAGCTTGTTCATCCCAGGTTTTTTTTTTGGGGGGGAAGGAAGAAGTGATGGAGACTGCCCTTTGCCGTGAGGTTTCGGAGAGGTGGAGCAAGGAGGGAGGCGGTGATTGGGTTTTGCATCGTGATCACCGATCGAAGATTTCGGTGGCTGTGAGCTCCGGCTACCTGCCGGGCCCGCAGAGGGAGCGAGGAATTTGCAGTGCAGGAAAGGACTCAGGGCTTTGCTTGCTGCATTTCTTTAGGAAAGAGACCCAAGGAAAAGCACGGATCGAGCAAGTTCTGCCTTGGGAAAGAGCCAGTTCCCCAATTTTCTCTGCGATGGGAAGCGAGTACGGATGCTTTCCCTGCACACACATCACCTGCAGAGTTTCGGCTGCGCAGGTCGTTAATTAGCAGGGGACGCTCATCACATTAATCCAGTGATGCTCAATAAGAACTGCATTGGTTTGGAGGAGAATAGACGTAGGGCTTATTAAGCCACGTGGCTTCTGTGAATCACGAGGGCCTGATCCTGCTCGAGCGAGTGAGGACCAGCTTGAGGGATGACAGAGGAGCCGTGCTGGGAGATTATGGCTCGGCTCAAAAGCAGCTGCACAGTCGAACAAGTGACAATCAAACGGTCTAAATGAGTCTGGATTTATCGTCTTCCTGTACAAACCCCGTCAAACTTGTTTCGCTTTATGTGTCATGAAAATGGGTCTCAGTCAACTCAGCAGAGTTTGTGCTGAGAAATAAATACATCCCGGGGTCCTGAGTCAGGCGTTCACCGGTGTTTATCTCTAAGAACCGATCGCAGCCTGGGACAGGTTGGCAACAACGTTTGCTCTCAAATTTTGTTCAAACGCAACTCAAAATGTTGTGCCCCCCCGCCCAAAGCGCTGGGAAGATGCTCCTGCTTGGAGCTGGGAAGGGAGAGCCACCACCTCATGGGGTTCAGGTCCCTTTTCTAACCTCTTTTGAAAGCATCTGCAGGTCTTGCGTTGCGAGGCAGCGCCTGCAGCAGCGGTGCCCGAGAGGTTGGAGACCCGAGGACTTGACCCCGCATCTCCCAAACCCACGCGTGTCCCCTTCCTCCAGGCAGTCAGGGTGGTGCAGACCCGTCTCTGCTGCTCTTCCCCTCGCTGTCCCCTGGCTCGGTGGCGAGCAGGATGAGGCGCGTGTATGAGGAGCACGTTTTGGTGGCCCCATGGTCTCAAACTCTTGAGGAACACAAGATCGCGGTGTCCCCACGCTGGGACACTGAAGCCAGCTGCTGCGGTTCAGCTTTTGAGCCACCACCGTCCCGACGCAGGGGGTGTCAAAATGCATTTGTATTTAAAAGCAGCAGAAAGGCTCAGCAGACACTAAACCTGACCCTTACGGATCTTAAAAGACCGTTTCACTCGCAGACAGCTCAACGTTGGGCTCCCTCGTGCAGCGGTTCCAGCACGGGCTCAGCATGGTTGCTGCCATCCGTGGTGGGACCGCCGGTGAGCACCAAAATACCACGCTCAACTCTTCCTACAGCGTTAGAAGAGCTGGGAAAGCGGTAGCACATTAGTACTGTTTATTAGGACAGCAAATCGTGCCAGAAAAGTCTACACACAACAGCTAATGATAACATTATGCACATTCACTTAACAGCTAATTAATCTCTTCGACTTTCCTAATGTACAAAAAGGAGCCTTCGGTTTGCGAGAACAACCCAACCATTTGCATTTCTTATTTCCTATAATTGGGGAAGTGGAAGAAATGGGGAGCGAAAAACCCACCACACACATCAAGTTGTTCACCTCAGCAGATAATAATAATGAGATGATCATCTCCTGTAGTATTTAATTAGAAATGTCGCAGTTAATTGATTTCTTGGATATGTTAATTAAGGAATAATGAGGACCAGGTTGCAGCAAAAGGCGTCAGCAAGAAGTTTTGAGTCCCTCCTGGAAGATGTGTCTGTTGGCTGCTCCCCGAGCCAGCCGAGGGACAACCAGGGGACAACCCCGGGGCTGTGTCACCCATGTCCTGAACCCACCCTTAAGCTCGGGCGCAGCTCAGCTCTTTCCATTTTCGCTCGTTGCTCATTTTTCTGCTCTGCATCCCAGAGTGCGGGCAGGCGCCCGGGTCCCGGCAGGACGGGCAGCACTGGCAGGCAACGGGTTGCCCCGTTTGCTGCCCGTGCCAGCGCCGCACATCGTTGGGATGTGGGATGACCCGGCCGATGCTGGACCATGCCACCCTGGGACAAGCGGTGCTGGTAGATCTCAGGGTTATACCGATGCCACGTAGCCGAGAGATGTAGGGGTGTGTGTCTCCCCCCCCCACCCCGGCTTCGGTCGGCTCCTCTTGAGGGGCTGTGTTGGCGATCTGGAGCCGGGGATGCCCTTCAGCCGCACGGGGGGGTCACGAGGGCTGCCTGCGCGTTGCGGCGAGACCCCGATAGCCTTTGAGCAAAGCTTTTTGGGGTATAAATAGCTCACTGAGAACATTCCCGGTGTCGGGTGTGCAGATGGTGAAGGCTTGAAGTGGTCCCGGTGGTGGTAGAGACCCCCAGCCCTGGGTATTTCCCCAGGTCGCTTTAGGAAACGTCCACTTTTGGCTTTTTTCCCCCTTTTTTGTGGTTTATTTTACACCCAACATCTTCAGCTGCCCCTTCTCATGCAATCGCCCTCCGGCACCCGATCTGAATGCACCTTATAACCGCGTTAATGGCAAGTCCCGGGGGACACGGAGTGTGTGGGGGGTGTGT